AAGCTGCTCACTAACAATGATGTTTAAACAAGAAAATAAACAGGGAGTGAAGTTTCATCTGTAGTATTCACTGCAAAGGGTTGTATTACAATAGCCCCAATAAGAGAATAGTAGAAGTTTTGCTTTTCCATCAGCAATGCCAATTTGCCAATTATGCCTCCTTCCTTTAGCAGCACTCGCAAATGGCGATCTGCAACTTAACAGCTGCTAGTAATTTAAAATTTGTGTTAACATGTTCAGGGAAAAAATTAAAAAAAAATTATTGATATGTCATAGCCTGTTTTACCAATCCCTTCTTGTTTAAAAATACTTAAATTATATGCCAATTCTGGTACATAAGGGATGTCATTAGAAATGACAAGACAATCACACTAGAGAAAAAAAGATACCTATTTAAACAAATACATACATTAAATGAAAACAGTTGGACAGAAAACAAGCTGTTAATTAATACTGATATTTGAAAAACAAGCCGGTATACATATGTAAAAGGTTTTTGGACTATACATGTATATTCAAAATCACTAAAAGCTGCCTTGATTTAAAAGCAGAATGGAGGTATTGATGCTGTGGGAAACACAACATCCAGAGACCACCTGCTTATAGTCAGTTCTAAAGAGATATATTTGCTGAAGGTGAGTAACACAGAACACAGCATTCAACTGACACTTCAAATCCTGCTGCCAGGATCTAAGTTGTGACACATCAGTGACTGTGTGTTCCTCCCTTTCAATCTTGGTACCTGTGAACATACTTTCCTCTTTTTGGCTTAACAGAAATAAATGTCATTTGAATTGTTAGCACTAGTAATCCAAATAATTTGTATTCACATTAGATTTCAGAGGAAAATTATAGCCCATATAATATGTTGGAGACATCCTTCTGCTGAACTTGGAGATCAAAAGCACATCTCAAAATCAACATGTTCTGGCTCCTTCCTTAAATCCTCCTGCCACAAAGGGAACTGGAGTTCTACGCAATCATTGTCCAAGCTCTGGTAGCCGAACTCATTTATTAATCAAAGCGGCAAGTCACTGTTGTTGACTATTGAACTACAAAGACTTCTATAAAATTTGAGAAGACTTTAATATTGTTTAGAATCTTATTTTTTGCTTCAGGGACAGAAAAAATATATTGTTTTTTGTTTTGAGGCAACTATACAGGCTTTCTCATAGACTTTTGCTGTTGAAGATGAAATTCACAAATCTTACGGGTTTTTTCATTTATTTTTTTGTGCCCATTTCTCATTTTATAGTATTTATTTAATAATATCTGCTGTCTGAAGAAGACTGATCTATTCTAGAGGTAGGTCAAGCCTTAAGAAATTGTGAGTATTTACCACTCAAACTTGTCACGCCATTCTGCATGCCAACAATATTACAACTTGGACAAGAAAGTAGAAGAAATTGTTGCTCGTTCCTCCAGTACATCAGTCCTTGTTCTGTGTGTCACAGGCCATCTAACATCAACTAACGTATCTACCAATATTTATGCCTATACCACAATTTTTGAGCCTGGAACTAGATAATAAGGAGAACATCATCCATAAATACCTTTTTGTGCAAAAATTTGTGATGGCTTTGCATTATGAGTGAACATGGAAAACTTGTGTGTGCATATATATACCCATATATTGTACATGTGCACACACACAATTATATATGTATGCTTACATAAAAATGATTTTAATATAATCTTCTGCACATTGATTAAGGTAGCAAGGCAGTTAGTATGGCGTGCCCCTCTACATGACCGCCTTTCTTGAGTAAAACCACAAAAGGCAGAGATTTGAGTCCTGTCACCAGTTTTCAGTTTTTTTCATCTATACTAACCTAAAGCAAAGGGTTAATGAGGCTTTCAGAAATCATGCCACCTGCCTAGTTAAACACAATAAATACAAGAAGTTGCTATCTTACAGGAATTGCCTTTGTGAATGCTTTTAACCTCTTAATTACACTCTTGAAAAGACTCCTGCTATTTCAAAGGTTTCAAGAAATAATTCCTATTGTAAATCAGAAACCAATGCAAGAACCACCTTGTGAACAGAAAATTCCTAAACCATATGAAACAAGAAATTGAATCTGTGCACACCTTTATCTGACAGGCACAACCTCGCTTAAGCAAACAAAAGAACAATAGTTTTATTTTCCTCAAAGAGGTCTCTTGCTGGTGATCGTCTTTCAGGTGATAGTAGCTTTTCTGTACAAGCCCGTATCATTCCATCTTGGGTCTGCTACACAGCTGTCTAAAGGTTTCCACTGACCACTCCTATTCTCCCTCTGCTTTAATTCTGTCACAAAATATCAGTCTTTACATTGACTGCACAAACTATGTTTGGTTTACTTCTTCAACTTCTTCACTCAAGGAAGAAAGTATTTGCAACAAAGCCTGAGTGAGACTGTCATTTTGTTTAGAAACTGTGCTGAAAATTCAACAGTCTCTTTCAAAGCAACAAAGGAACTCTTGTTTGCTTGGCTTATCATGTTTTGGTCCAGAATGTGTATAGAGTGATGTGATCTCAGCAAGATTTTTTTTGTTTGTTTAACAGAAAGAAAATCTAATATAGTCACTAGACCAGCATGTTCTCATGACTTTTTGAAAGATCAAAGGAAAGAACCGTAACCTCAAAAGTATATGGCTGAGATATTTCAGTCTGTGTCTGGTCAATAAAGTAAAAAGGCACTGACCAAATAACAATTATAAGATAATTAATTCTTAGGGCTGTTCCACCTTTAGAAACCCTAACGAATGCTTTGTGTATTAAGGACGTAAACATTGTTCAAGACAGACATAAGAACCTGGGAGCTAATACAGTATAATGGGTGTCTGTGTAGTGGTAAGTTATACACAGATGACTTAATTTTTCTGAAAATCAATTCATTTAATTAATTCTGTTCTTCAGATTTTGGCTGAATTGAATGTATGCAAAAGATGTTAATGTTCTGGTTTCTTTATACACACACAAAAAAGAGCAGGTTCAACACAGTACATTTCTCAACCAATACATCTTAACTCTAACCAGACTGGATAACTTGGTACAGATGTTCACTCTATCCTTGTCATTGTTAGACTTTTGCCAGTGATGTTGGTGATCAGTGCACGCTGTAGCAACATTTTTTGTGATAGATATTTGAATCCAGATTGACTTCCACATTTGGATCTTGGAACTTTTCATTTCACAGTAATTCTGTGAAAACATAAGGTGGTTAACTAAACCACAGAGAAGAGTCAGTTGGCATTTTTCTCTGTCCAAAGAACCTGCCTGCCTATCTTCAATCATCTAGATATTTTATGCTGCACATTCAAAACCAGTAGATCCTTTAAAAAAATTACTCTTTTTTTTGTATCAGGTGACAATGGAATTCTGTGAGTAATTCAGAAACATACTCTATTTACTGCATCCTCAATTGTGACAGCAAGAGTGGCCTTGTGGCTGCAAAATGCGAACTGCAAGGGCAGCAGAAGGAACCCATGATACTTCATTGACTGAACAAGAACACGGCAGACAAATTTCAGTATAGATAAGTATCAATTGAGGCACTTAGAGAAAAGGCAATTCAAATTTTACATGACAAACTCTTGAGTAGCTACCAATATGCTAGAAAGAGGTTCTGCAATTGTAATAAGTATGAAAATAACAGCTCAGTGTTTATTTAAGGTTAAAAAAATTAAGCAAGAAAAAGTTCAAGGAGTTAGTAGGAAAGTGAACAAGAAAGCATCCATAATTCCCCTCTATAAATCCATGGTGTGCAAACTCTTTAAACATGCTGTGCAGGTCTGATCCCTCCTTGACTCATCTCAAATTAAATATATGAGAGCTGAAAAAAAGTCCAGTAAGACTGACAAGGATGACCAGAGGAAGAGAATAGCTCCCACATAAGAAAAATCCTAACAGTTATATCTGAAAAACATGACTGAAGAAGATACAACAGAGCTCTATAAAATCTGGCGTACATCAATAAGGAACTGCTGTTTCCACTTTCTCTTGATGCTGCACTTAGGGGACATCAAATGTGGTGGGAAGTTCCAAGTAAATAACAGGAGGTACTTCACCATGCTACGCAGGGCTAGCTGATCAGCAGATATGCTGCCACAAAAAATCATGAGTGCTACATTGGCTCAAAAAGCATATCGTACAAACTTATAGAAAGAAACTCTTTAAGAGCTATTAATTTCAAAGAAGCCTCAATAGGCTTAGTGAGTCCCTGACTGCAAACCTCTGGCAGCTGGGACTGTTTACCAAAGGACTATTATTATATTCCTTGCTGGACCTTCTAGTTTTCCTTTGGCATCTGCTGTTGAAGACTGGGTACTGGGCTATGTCAGTTTTTAGCACAACCTGGTACAATCATCCTTATGTTATGGGGCAGAAGCCCATCAAAATAATTTCATTCATACCACAAAGCAGCCAATCCTCACTCCTGCTCTTGCAGTTCTGGCAGGAGTTCTGTTAAAACTGAAGCTCTTGGATTGAGTCAGAATGGTACAGTCAAGAACTATAAATACAGAGACCTGCCTGAAGCACAGAATATAATTAAGCATCCTCTAGTACACTTTGTTTCATGAGTTAATAGTGTTTTCCATACTGCTTAAAAAGAAAAAAATTACATGAAATGAAAAAAAACCCCAATGGAGTCATTTGGGATTCTTTCTTTTCCCCAGTAAAGAATCTTGACAAGAAACGATGGGAAAGACCAGTGCTCAAGGGACCATATTCTTCTTGACAGACAGAAAGCATTGCAGGGCAAGGAGTGTCTTCTCAGATGGTGAAGCAGTTTACAATACTGCAAAGAAGCTGCCGGTGTCATGAAATTACTGGAATGAAATCAGTCACTTTTGATGTTTAATTGAGGGCACATTTCTCTTCAAAAGCAGCTCAAAGAGAGTTAAAAGAAAAAGTTGATTCAGCATATTACTAAGTGATATTAACAGGTAATTAATAGGTAATCATATATTACTGTTCATGCGATGTTACAAGTTGATTTATCAAGTATACTCACAGAGACTGTAGACTGCGCAAGTTCTGGAGTGCTTCAGTAGGAACCTGGCGTAGTTGGTTATTCTGCAGCATCCTACATTTTGAGTAGCACAAAACCCAGAATCAACACAGTAAAGACAATTTATTTCTATTGTAAATTTTCTTCCAAGCTTACCTCCTTTTTACTGGTTCTACTTCAAGATTACAAACAAAGGAAAGCCACACAAATACTCTGTTCCCCTGTCCCTGTCAAATGCCAGTTCTCTTCAAAGCAAACAAATACCTGTAACACATTAGCTTTGTTAACAGCTACACATCAGCTCTGAGCAGGATTTTCAAAGCAGCTGAGGAAGTTAAAAGAATAAATCCGATTTGCTTTCAATAGGGCTTGAGCTCCTAATTGCCTCCAGTGATTCTGAAATTGTAATCCTCCTGTACTGATTTCTTTTTCCTTCTGAAGTGCTTCAGTTTCTTATTCTGATAAAGCTGTGAAGGACTGACCCTTGAAATCCTTACTCAGGAAAATGTTAACTGTATGAGGAGTTTATGATTTGGTTTGAATAAAAGTTTATCTCTGTAAAAAATGTTTTTTCCCAATGAAATCAGTTTTCTCAAATGGAAGGTTGCTAGCAATGACGTGACAAATCTCTTTTCTGAAATATCATGTCATTTAGCTGGTGAAGATTGAAAAATCACTTTTCATTCCAAAAGGATCTTTTCTTCCCTTTGAATACTGTTTCATTCACACTGCTTAATATCCTTGTTTGGACCAACTCCTACACATATAAAAGGATTCTACGCGAGTAAAACTGAAGTAGTACATGCTGCCTTCAAAATCAGGCATACTCGATGGGACATTGTAAATGAAATAATTTTTGGCAGGCCTGAATCTCCTTAGGCCAACAAGAGCTACAGCTGGCCAACTTAGGAGTAGCTGGAGTGGGAAGCTATTTGTACTTCTTTCCCACTTATGAATTTTTTCAGTACAGCTTTGTATACTCTTATGGTAGCATCTGGCTTGGCTTGATGCTGCCTAGGAGGTTGGCATTTTCGCTAATAATACAGTTTCCGTGAACTTTACATAGGCAAAGATCCCCTCTAGTATAAATACTGTGAGATGTGGCCTGCTAATAATTTTAGTAACTATATGTACTGTCATATTACTCCAAATAAAACAGGGTTTTGTAAATTTTTTATAATTTATCTTATGGTAATTGCATTGTGGAGAACAAGATATAAAATACGAACTGCATTTTAAATTAAGTGCTGTTCTACAATAATGTTTTTCCCCCTGCCTCTCAAGAAAAGGCGGCAATTTACTCCCAGTTTTGTCTGATCATGAAAAGTTCACTAAGATTTTTAGACTGAAATCAGAACTTTTGAGACAACTAAAGAAACTATTAACCAAACCAATTTTTACCTTTGATATTGTACAGAGACATCTATTTGATGAGCAAGTTGTTTTTAGAATGCCATTAATGTTTTCCAACCTTTGTGTTTAGGATATTTTCTATATGAAAAAACAAAGATTTAATGATGTTCATATGTATCTTCAATTGAAATGTTCAAAATGAGCTGATCAAAATATGTAATTTACTTGATCAAAACTTCACTGGTTAATTAGTTCCCTGGAGCATTTAGGAAATCAGAAATATATCAAACAACACACAGTTTACTTACAGCACTTTAAGACTGAAAAGGCCAGCAAATGCTCCCTTAGGAATGTATGTCAAGCCATTTCCTGCAAGACGTCTGCAAAGTTTGAAAAAGGAAAAGAAAAAGAGTGAATACTTTTTCTCTTCATGTGGAATTAATTTGGTTGTTAAAAAGTGCAACACAGCTATGTTTGAGCGACTGATGCCAGAGGCAGTAGTTTAAGAGCCTTGTTTTGTCATTAATACACTATTAAAAGAAAAAAAAAAGAAGAGAAGTCCTCAACTGTACAGTTGGTTTACTGACAGCTGGACTGCAGAGACAAAATGCAACTTCACTGCAAATTGAGCTTATGGTTTAGAATGCACATCAAATTGTTCATATTGTTCTTTTTAAAAATTAGAGCAATCTCAGCAACTAAAATACAGATATACTGACAACAATTAGCATCATTGGATTTACAGGCATGCACTTTTGGAATTGTGCATGTATGATGTCTCTGAACATTTAACTCCTTGGCACTAATATAAAAATATATCCACATAGTAGTGACCACAGCTGATTTTAAAATAACCACACACAAAACTGCTGTACGGGTGGAATCATAGTTTTCCCTGTGAGCAGATGTGTAATAGGTTGGCATAAAGTGTATTTGCTAAAATTTGTAGGGCTTTTTTCCCTATTTCTATTGCATTTTCCTTCTCAGAATGCCTGAAAGTATTTTACAGACCTAGGTAAGTAACAAATACCTCTGTAAAGCGTGTTACTCTGTCAAAACAAGCCTGCATTCTGTAAGATTTGTGCCTAGGAAAGAGATCATGTATTTGATGTGAAATAATGGCACCTCCATGTTCCCCATCGGTGCAACTCCAGAGCATCTTGCATTTAGCCTCCTGACATCCCAGTTCAGCATGAATGTGCTATGATAGCTGTTCCCTAGCTGGAAAACTGACTGGTATGGGTCAGATTCCCAGTCAAGTTATCTTGGGCCAGTAGAGCCATAGTGTCTGCTCTTAGCTGGCAACAAATGCGGGTTGATATGATGTAACCCTCTTTGCAGACCAAGTTAAGCCAAATGGAATTGGTATTTCCCATCAGCTAAGATATTGCACACCAAAATTGCAGACAGCTACCATAGTCCGGCTAATGTGATAACAGAGTTGACATTTGATTTAGTCTCTGGCCCCTTAGGAAAGACCACAGGACTAGATCCAGAAAATGCCTTAGGTACCAAGATGCCGGAGAGGAACCTATAGCACTGAAGTAGGCACCAGAGTTGCCAATACTGTTCATGGAAAAGGCCAGGTGCTTATGACTGCAGTCCCAAAGACCCAGCACTGACTGGCCCTTAAATGTTGTCTTCCTTTGGAGGTTAGTTGCCTCAAGCTAACTACGGGGTCCTGAGCATACCTTCTCTTTAGACATCTATTTCATACAGAAAATACAAATAAAAATTGGGCCATAAAGGAAAAAACCCCATGATTCTAGATCCCAGCTGCAAAGACTTTTCAGGCATTTTCAATTTGTGCAAAAGGTCCTTGCCTGTACACACACCTGCGAAGCGATGTGACCTGTAGCTCTGAGCAAGTGGCTCCTCCTCTCTGTTCAATGAATTTAACTGTGCTCTGCAGAGGTGCTCAGCTTCAGACAGAGCTGCTGAGCTTGTCTCTCACTGGGGAGTACACTGCAGTCTGGTGTTCAGACATCTGAGAACCAGGCACGTGCTCTGAATTCCTGCAGGCAGATGAGTGAACCGAACCTGGCTCACTCCTGTTCCAAGGTGAGGCACTCACAGGCTGAGCCTATTTTTTTTTTCAGATGTATGAGGGGCTTCTCCAGCTCCAGCTTTCATTCTGAATGAAAAATGGCAATGACTTTTGGTTTTTACTGGATCAAGCAGGTGTGTGCTAGGTTAGGCAGACCAGAGCAGGTCCCTGAAAGTAAATGCTATTTGTGGATCAGTGGCTAGTAGAGGCTCAGGACCTATCTAATGCTGATCTCAGTTTATGATATGATTTTTTGGAAAGACTAAAGACTGCTTCACCCTCACAGCACCCTTTCATTCTGTTATTTTAATAACATGACTGGACATGAATCTGGATATGAGCCTGGCATGAACCAGAAAGTGAGGAGCCTCCAAAACTTTACTAGAAAAAAAGTAGTTACAGGTATTGAGATTTTTCACTCACAGCTGTAAGTTATTGCTTTGAGTGTCATATGGAAAGCTTGATAAAGAGCAGAGAATGAAACTCACATGTCTGAAAACTCAAGCTGGTGCTCTTTCAGGTCACCATCCCTTCTTAAGTGTGGCTGTGTTGTGGCAATTTTCATAACTGTTGCAACGCAAACTGGCAAACACACTGCATGTTCATACTGCCTGTTTGAACTGGAATACTCTTCACAAAGTGGGATAGCTGAGAAAATCAGACCTGTTTAAGAGCTCCTGGAGAAGGGCTCTGGCAATTACCAAGCATGCTCCTCCCTGTTGCAAATGCAGGACTGCGGCAATTTAACTGGGACACTATGCAGCTTTAAAGTTTTGTTTCAATGTGTAATACTCACTTTTCCCAACTTCAGAGCATCATCATGGCTTTCTGCGGTAAGCCTTAATGTTTGACATTTTTTGAAAATGGACTGTCATAATTTTAAGACATTTTATGGTACCTGTAATGTATATCTAATATATTTAGAAAGAAATATCTAAGCACAGAGACACACCTATACATGTATATGCTGCACGTCTCACTGACATTCAGGATGGTTTTAGTGAGACTGTACCGTACTGCATTGGGCTGTATCTATGCTAGTCTCTGATGGCTAAAATTTTTCCATGTAACTTTTTTCCTTGTTTCCTTTTGTGGCCAGTTTTCTGTCAAACTGTCTTCAGGAGAAGATTTGTCAGATTAAACTGTGGTCATTCTGACTGTAAGGTCCATTTGGATAATCTGGCCACCCGCAATATACCATCCTAATGGCCTGACTCCTTCCGCATGGCCCCAGCTCCAACATCTTTTAGAGGAATATCCGAAGCCAACAGACAGTTGTGAGCCATGTTCCTGAGCTGCTCTGAGTGATAGTTACCTGCATTGTTAAACTGAGATGTAATTTTTGACTCTTTTCTTCTGTTTTGTTTCAGATTCCAACCCTTGTTTCGTATTCTGCTTCTTTTCCTTTTAGATCACTTCCCAAATATTAAACATCTTGTACAAACACTTCAGACAGATGAAACCACATGTTAAACTTCTTTTTGGTAGACACAACTTCTGCATTTACTCCTCATGAGTTTTTCAAACTCAGGTCATTCTTGAAGTTCTGTTTTGAATATTTTTCAGTTTGAAAAGAGCTCTCAATAATTTTGCAGACAGTGGTTAATACTACCTTACATGATACTCTGCTTATGCAGCAGCAGATCATGCTCATCATGTGCACCCCTACATATTTCGGTAGAGGGTTACATCAAATGTACCACAAATGCCAAAATACATGTATGTCTGTGTAGTTCTCTCACCAAGCAAACTGACAATGTCAGAAAAGGTAGACATCTGGTAACAATTATTTTCTAAGTAATGATGTTGTCTGACCTTCAGTTACCATATTAAATTCTTTCTAATGACACCCTTTTCGTGATTTTCTGTGGAACCGACTTCAGGCAAACCACCTATCTATTCCCAAGATGCTCCATGAGACCACTTCTGAACACCGGCACAACAGCAGCATCTTCCCAGCCCTTAGGAACGCCCCAGCATTGTGGTATTTGGTAAAAACCAGCAAAAATGATTCATTAGGATCATTGTCTATTTCTTTCAATATTCTTGGATGAAAGTTAGAGCACCAGTTCTTTAAGGTATGCTCAAAGCTCAATAAGTTTGGCTTATTTGTTCCTGACCATTTTTAATACCTTCCTTGTGGGTTTTTCCTACTGTTACTGTTTCTATTCTCAGTCTTGGCATAGGGGAAAATAAACCCCTTGTTGACACCACAGTACCTATCAAGTATCTATCAGGGTCTAGTCTTCTCCACTTCAGGGATTTTGTTTTCTATTACCCTAAACTATTTGAGGGATGCTGCCCAGTATTTTACTGAACTTTGGATGGACTTTAGGTAGTGATTTTAGTCTGATGGGTAAATATCGCTTTCCTCGAACAGATGAAGATGGACATACTCTCTGTCTCTATAGTTCAGCATTTAGTTAATGACTTCTGAGAGCAGAAATGGACCAGCTTGTTTATAGTGCTTACATAACCAAATGGCTGGCTTCTATTGTTTCAACAACTTCATATTTCAATTTTTAAAAGTTATTTCTTTTATTTCCAGCATTTCTGACATTATTTTAGAAATATCTCATTAAGCGCATTCAGGCTCAAAGGTATCACATCTCTCTTATGAAAAAGAAATCAAAAGTACACAGCATTACTGATTTGGAATCATATTTTTGGAGCTATATTATTTTAGAACTAGATTTTACTTATGCTGCTTCATATAATCTTGCAAATTAATGGAGTTTGGAAAAGTTTATGGGGAAGTGTTACTATGTGCTTCCCTCAGTACCTGCTACTTGCCACTACTGGAAGCAAGATACTATGATACTTTTGGCTTAAGCACAGGCTAAGTTTTTATACTACTGCATGTTTCTTTCTAAAAGGTATGTAGAATAAATGAGCTGAGAGAAAGCATGTTGTCTCCTTCCTTTCAAATGGCAGCAATTTATGAAATATCTTTCAACGCAGTTCAGTCCAAGCCTTGCCTGGTACCAAGCCTCTCCTCATTATCTGCTGGGATGGAAGGTGGACTTGAAACACTAAAAAGTCTTCTCTCTACAGCTAACAAACTGTGGCATTTAATAAAGAAAGCACCTCTCCGTAACTCTGGAAAGAAGCTGTGGCAAATCTAACCCAGCTACTCATTGTCTGCAGCAGATAATGACAGTACGATATGGGTAGTGGATGCTTTTCTTCTTTGCTGAGCAAGCACCTGTAAAGTGTATTTCAAAATCCAGTAGTATCAAACCTATACAAGAGACATGAAAGGAAGATAATAGTCTCCTTGGGAAAAAGCATATGTTTACATGAATTAATATTCATGCTGTGTTCTGACAGGAT